AAAAAAAAAAAAATTTTTTTTTAGAGCAGAAAAAAATTTTTTCTTTTTGGTTTTCTGTTCATCTTTTATTGAAACCAACCAGCCATGATACGACGAGGCCGAGAAGTGTCTATCTGTGTATGTATGTGTTGCCGTTACTGCTGTTGTTGTTATGTCTGCTACTATTGCTGCTGCTACTGCTACTGCTACTGCTGCTGCTGCTGCTGCTGTCGCTACTGCTGTTGCTGCTGTGGCTGTTGGTGGTGCTGGTGCTGTTGCCGTTGCTGGTGTTCGTGTTGGTGCTGTGGTTTGTCGAGGATAGATGGAGTTGTCGGTGCCGGGGTGAGCGACTACGTACCAGGGAGTGGCCGCCAAAGGGCACTAGCACTCTGACGACTACTGACATAATTATAACAACAACAATTTCAACTGTCCACACACACACACACACTCACCAACACACACACACACCAACACACACACAAACACACACGAAATTTTTTATTTTTCAATTTATATTTCAATTTGGTTTTTTTTTGGCCTTAACTGGTCAGTTTTTTTTTTGCAAGCTAAGAAAAAACTTGAAAAAAATGGATGGATAAAGGAAATTTTTTTTTGTTATTTGCAAAACCTTTTTCTATGCTTTCTTTTTTTTTCTTGGCACTTATTCCCTTCTCTTTTTCCTTTGTGCATATTTTATTTTGCTGTTATCTGGATGTTTATTTGTTTGTTTATTTGGAAGCTAAAAAAAAAAAAAAAATTGAGAAGGAAATTACCAGATTTATATTTGTTTTCAATACTTCTGTTTGTGTACTGCTGTTACTATTATTGCTGTCTTTGATTTGATGTTAAAGCAATCGACTGGGTTAAAAATTTAAAAAGATGATGTTGGTGACGGGAGCTAAAGGAGAAGGATTAGGAGGACTAAAAAAGGAAAGGGAATTTAGACCGTGGCAAAAGAAAGAAAATAGAAAGTTTTTTTTTCTTTTTTCCTAAAAAAGAATAAAATAAAGGACGAAACTAAAACTT